AGGTCAGAGGAGGGGCATATTGAAGTGCTCTGGGTTAGAATACAAGCCAGGAGTGGGCCACAGGATGAGCTAAACTCCCTTTGACTTACTTACCCCATTATCCATTGCCAAAAAAAGAGGGAGATGGGTGAGCCTCCACTATGGCCAGTCCAGGTTCTTTCTGGAGAGGGCGACGGGCATAATCTTGCCAATAGATTCAGTCCTGCTCTGTCTTTTTGATGCATTCGCTATTTGCCAAAAACTTTCCAGCAGGCTCTAGCCCAACCTGGCCTCAGTTTTGTGGCCGACTCGGGGGCAGAATCTCCCCCTGCCAGGCCTCTGTGAGATGGCAAGGTTTGCTCTTCCCCTGGCCCCTGGTCATGGACTGACTCAGAGCCCAGCCTGCACTGAGTCACTGTCAGTGGCTCTGGAGACAGGTGATGCCCATACATGTGCTCCACTCCTCTTGCAGGTGTCTGAATCACTTCTAAGGAGTGCTTTCTTGCTGACTTCCAGTGCCTGAGCCGCAGAGAGACAGCAGAGAAACCAAGCTGCATGCAACTCAAAGGAGGGAAGTCAGCTTTTTGTCTGCAACACCGGAGAGCTCACTTCTTCAAAGGGCAAGCGGAGAATTTGAAAGGGACCAAGTAAGCTTTTTACTGCCTGACTTCCCGGGCGCTACAGTTCTTTGCTGGGTTTTGTTGGAAACAGAGGTAATGCAGGAGTGGATGTCTCTCTTAAAGGGACCTTCCCCGGGGACTCGGGATAACCATGAGCTGATGTTCATTTCCCTTCTGATTCATCATTTGGCTTTTGTTCAAAGTGTAAAGACGGGCTTCTTGTTGCTAGAAAGCAGTATCTCTTTAGCTAGATTGGTTTAGGTATAGGATGACGGGTACCCTCAGTTGGACATAGTTGTATCAGCATCCTAATCTCCAGCTGCTGTATAGCTCTTTTCATCAGTAGATCTTAAAGGGCTGGACTATGCAAGTCAGTGTTCATATCCCCATTTTAAGGCTGAGGAAACTGAGGCATGCAAAGGGAAAGTGTCTTGCCCAGGGCCATCCAGCCGGCCAGTGGCAGAGATCAGATAAGAACCGATGTCTCTGTCCACTAGTCAGTATTGTTCTTCCCTTCCAGGAAGGAGAACAAACCAATATACAGGTGTAAGCCCATCCAGATGAGGAGTTGTACTATAACTATGTGGGTAAAAAATCATGCCTCTAGCTGCTCTAGTCATTACCAGCAAAACAGATTGCTATGGCTGCAGGTGGGCTGATGGCGTTTTGGAGGTAGGCAGGACGGGGACCATCTTTTCCTGCAGCTTTGTATATAGCACAACTAGGTCCATGCTCGATTCTCACGTAGGTGCTTCCATAAGAGTAAAGTTTAACAATAGCAACGCCTGCCTTGGCTATTGTGCCTTGCTCCCGGGGTCGAGAATGCACTTTCCGACAGTGCCGGTAGCATCGTTTCTGGTGCAGAGATGGGGAAACTGAGGCGGGTCGCGCACCGCCCAGGTAAAGCTCCGTCTGTGGGCTCTCCCCAGGCCGATGTGTTTGGGTCCTGCTGCGCCAGACCCACATGTATCTGGCTGCCCTGCATCTCGGTGAGCTTTAACAACCATTTCTGGCTCCAGCCTCTCTGACACGCTTTCTTGGCTCTGAATCTTTGTCTACTGGTTCACAGGCAGCCGCCCTGCATCACCCTTTGCTCCCCAGTGTTTTATGCACACTCGTTCTCCTAGCTCCAACATCCCAGGCGCTGTTTTTTTTATAATTAAATTTTTCTTTTATAATCAAATTGAGCACTGAACCCTTCAGGAGCTCAGCATGACCTGGAGACCTCACAGGGGTTTTTAAGCACAATTACTTGTTAGTTTGCAGAAGGAAGGAAACATCCAGACAGAAGTGATAAACCCCTCATGCGGTTCCTTGCCTTATTTTCCTCGCTAGTAGGGAACCGTGTCGGGGTTGGTCAGAGTCCTCTGGGATGCCCAGGAACTTGTTGTTGGCAGCTCAGGTCTCCTCTTCTCAACCATGAAATCTCCCTCTTAAGCTTCCTTTGTCCTCGGCTACTTTCACAATGAAGCCCAACCCTTTTGCTACAAAAGCATGCCCCTGAACCTCCCTCCTTCCCACAGATTCTCCTACCTTCATAAACCCAAGCCTTTGTTCCTCCTGAAAGTCTTCTTTCATTCCCTGCTTTGTCACCTCTGTCCCGTCCGTCCCTGGGTTTTCCATTTTCACTTCCCTCTTCTTGCAGAGAAGTTGGAGGAACTCGTTTTTTACAGTTCAGACAACCCATTGTTTTGATGCGTTTCCACCCAAAGAGGCGATCATTAATGCTTAACAACACCGAAATGGTTCCTGGTATGGCTGGTCTGTAGAGGCCCTGTGGATTTGTCGGACTATCTCCGCACCGAGACACTCTCTGACGTGGCAGTTTCCTAACCTTGGCCAAATTTCCTGAGTTGTCACGAAGAGCGTGCAGAGGCAAAGTAACGTGCGCAGAAGCAAACTCCAGGTCTGTGGCGGGGCCAGTGTCCTCCGTCTTAGTCCAGCGCCCTGTGTCATGGCACCCGGTGGTTCCCGGACATCTCTGTTCTAAGGATCTCAAAGAGTTTTCCAGGCACTAATTTGCACTTGTAACAAGCTGGAGGTGGACCTGGGCCTTTGACATCCCAGGGAAATGGGTATGCAGAGACTTGCCACGTGCACTGTGGAACTAGGAACAGAGCTTCAGGCTCTCTGAGGCCCCCCAGACTCTTTTTCAGACTGGGTGCATCTACATGAGACGCTTAACTACCCAGTAGCATAGTTTACTGCACAGTAAGCATGTGCATCTACATGTGCACGTGGTGGCGGCAGGGGCCCATTGCAGGGCCCCAGGAAGCAGGAGCAGTTTGCTGCCATTAGCAGCAAACCTGCTCCTGCTTCCCTGCATGTGTAGACACCTACTGGGGAGCATTTAGTCATGGGTTTACCCCTGAGTAAACTGACCCTGGATCAAATGCATGTGTAGATGTGCCCACCCTTCACTAAGAAGTCCATGTCGTCCCTACCAAAAGCCAGACAGGAGTTTTCTCACATCCTTTGCAGGTTAATGGGTGTGAGGGCTGAAGCAATAGTCCAAGAACGGAGGTGCCATTTGCTGCTGTTTGCCAGGGGAACAGAACAGGCAAGGGCGAGATGCTGGTGCACCCTGGCATGCAAAAGTGTTGGTGGTCCCTCAGCAGGGCTTTGCATCCCTAATCCATATTGCATTGCTGTTTGGCCATGTTCGTACCCCAAACTTCAGTCTGAGGTTAAAACAGACGTCCTTCTCCTCCGATGCTCCTTGGACAGCAAGGGAGGGGCTTGTCAGTAGTTTGAGGCACTTTCCCCCACCTCTGTGCGGGGGCTTTTGCAGCGCATTTTGCAGGGCACCCAGGCCCAGCTGATCCAAGGGACTGAGAGACGGCAATGGGGAAGTGACCTGGGGCGGGGGTCCGATGATGAAGTGTCGTATTAAACCCTGGTGGGTTTAGCATGACACTTCCAACAGGAAGTAGCTCATGGGTACTGACTCAACAGGAGACTTAGCAATCAGAGAAGCTGAGGTACTCCTGGCTCCGCAAGCTGCAATGTGTGGGGAGTCAGGCCCAGATGCTGACCACCTGATGCGTTCCAACACGCCGGGGTTAAAAGCAGCAAATCCCATGTGTGCTTACGCCCAGATAAATCAGCACAAGTGCATTACAACAGTACAGAACTGACCTCTATCTGGCTGAAAGAAGGCCGTTGCATCTTGCTCAAGTGCCCCCGGCTCTGGGTTGCACCGAGAGAACCGCACAGGCTTGCATCTGTGCAGAGAGGAGACCTGAGTCTGGGAGGGGGTGTGCTCTAGGGACACCTGCTCAATCCTTCCTTCCCTCCCTGTTGCAGTGACACAAAGCGATCAGACTGGAACCTGTCTGCAAGGCTCACCCCGAGGCAAAAGCATCAGTGAATCAAGAGCAGCATGGAGCGGTTCTTAGACCCACACTATGCCAAGCAAATGGTTTTAACCCTTCAGGCCCTGCTGAGACCTTTCCTGCTGTCTCAGACACATCTCACCTGTGACCTTGCAGGCTCAAGGCCTGCCGAAAACATCTGAAAGGTGGAAAACAGAGGTTCTGTGTCCTTGGTGGAGAATAGCACCCAGCAGGGTGGTTTCTAACAGCTCAGAGAGATGGCATGGACCCAAGGGTTTGGCACCTCTGAGGGTGGAGCGACTGGAAGGGAAAACAGGCTGCAGCGCTAGCTGGTTGGTTTGGTGATTGCAAGAAAAGCAAGTTCTGCATTTCCTCATGTCACACTGAAAGGACGCTGAGATCTAGCCGAGGCTGTCAGGCTAGTTTGGCTGGTCTTCGGTGAAAACACGTATGGCATTTCTAATTCTTATTATAAACCAAGCCAGGTGAAGGTGGTAAGACAGAGCTGTAATAACCATGTGTGGTTATTGCATAGGGTAGCAGCTAAGAAGAGAGCGGGGAGGGTCGTTTCTAGCAGTTAGTGTGCACGAAACCATGCCAGCAAGGACAACCTGGCAAAATCCTTTGGGATGAGAACACATGAAATAACATCCACTGCATTAAGCTGACACAAAACCGGTCTGCTTTGGCCCATCAGTGGGGTTACTGGTGTCTCCCAGCTCAGCCACCCTGTGCGTATTCATGGTACGTAAAACTTTTCTAACACCATTTTGCACCACTGCCTCCTCGTGGAAGGAATCAGGACACTTTAGCTGCGTGTCATAGCCCTGATCTGTCTAGGAGATCATGGGGAATCTCCTTTAGGTTAAGTCAGGGGGGATTTAGAGAGCAGGAGGTTGAGTGATCATGGGTGGACCAACAACGGGCATCCCCAGGTCCTTGGGTAACATGCAATCAAGGCATGTTAAAGGCTGGTATGGAGGGTGCCCTGCTTTAATATTGTTACTTACCCTTTTTATAGTGGTGGCTTCAAAGCCAACCAGTTCAGGGCCCCAGTGCACTGCGTCCTGTACAGGCACAGAAGAAACCAACTTGCCCTTCAAAGAGATTATTGTCTAAAAAGCAACAAGATGTTCAGAGTCACAGCAGCGGGGCAAGAGGCAGAGGAGCAACAGAATAGCACAGCTGCAGCTCACAGCAAAGTCTTATATTTTAAATGCATGCACAGTGCAGGTGCTGGGCTGGGGGTCAGGAGGAATGCAATGCATCCTATTTCTTGGTTTTGTCACAATCTCCCTCTGTGACCTTGGGAAAAATCACTTCATCTCTCTGGGCCTCGGTGATCCATCCATGAAAGGGGGATAATAACACTTCCCTGCCTGAAAGAGGCATTGTCAGGATGTGGCCATTGGTGCTGGCGCCCGTGTCAGATCACGCAGCGAAGAGGAGACAGTGAAATGCTATTGCATCATTTGAAATGATCGTTTTAAACCCCCGCTTCCTCCCTCGGCGTGGGGCAAAGAGCCAGCTTCACCGAGCCAACAGAGCCATCAGCTCTTTCCCAGTGGGCTCAGGGCCCAGTAACAGGTGGGTTATCTCAAGGCAGTGCTGCTGGCCTGGAGCCAGATCTTGTCCTTTCGAGTGTGTATGAGCTGAGGATGCAGAAGTGCATTAGAGAAGCCACTAGTTAATTTGCCTGCATGCCCCCCTGTGAAGCAAGGAAATAATACAACTCCTGGTAGGCAGATGGGGAAACTGAGGCACAGAGAAAGTGACTTGCCTGAGTTCATGCAGGGAGTGAGTGGCAGAGCCGGGAGGAGAGCCCTGCAGTCCCGGATCACAGTTGCCAAGCCCTCTTCCTGTGCTAGGGGATGACGTGCTTCAGCAAACAGCTCTCACCTTTCCTCTGCCGTTCCCTTTCCCACGTGCCTCCAGAGCCACCCATGCCAGGGTACGCTCGGAGCTGCCTGCCCTGCTCCGCTCAGCTCCATTTCCAACTGGGGGCAGCTGATGGGCCAGGAGAAGGCAAAATGTGGCTGAGAGTCAATGCTTCTCTCTGGCCACTGGGATAAAGGGCCCTGGGGATGTGAGTACCTCTTTAAATACTAACTTGAGATATCCAGGGCTGAGTCTCTGAGCAGCAAAGCAAACTCCCCCTCCCACTGCTTGCCAGCTTCAGGTGTGTTAATCCCACTCCAGCGGTTGCTGGGACTTTCGTTCTGGGCGTGCCGCTCCATTAGGAAGGCTGCATTCATTTCATGTGCCCCTTAGGACCAAAGAGGGAGTGGGGAAGAAAGGGGCTGAGATGAGAGGAGAGATGCCAGCAGGGAGGCTCTTGTGCATTGCCTTGGAGGATCTTTGAATCAGAGGTGCCAGGGAACGTGCACCTTGGGATTTTAGCAGAGTGGAGACTACAGCAGACACAACTTGCACCAGGGTCATTTATCCTGGTGCACATTAATGCTGCTAGGTGCACCGCACCAGCGCCTACAAATGGCAACCACACCAGTGCCTGTAGCAACTGACTGGTTTTAAGAGGGGAGGACTGGTAGCATGGCTGGAGCACTGAATAGGCTTGGGTTTTATTTTAGGTTCTCTGAGCACTGTGGCTGACTAGTCCTAGAGTTTCTGGCTGTGTATTTTGGTATCAGCCCAGCCCCAGGCAAGGAAAAACCTCCTTGTTTAGCAATAAAAGTTGTAATTTAGAGATACTCTCTGATTTAGAAGAGGTGGGAATTAGGAAGACAGTCAGTGAATTAGGGTTATAGTTAGTAAGAGACAGAGGGTCTGCATCGGCATACCTACGGCTTCACAATGAAAGGTATTGTGCTCAGTTCCTCTTGTTCATGCCTGATTGTCTTTACTGGATCAGGGATTCACTGCATCTGGGGAAGAAGCTCAAATACTATCTTGGCACATTGTGGTCCAGGAGACCAGAAAAGCAGCAAAATGCTCACTGCTGTTTCTGGAGCATTTGATTCAAATCAAGGAACATTCATGTCCTGGTAGTAAGTCCTAGTCCAACTTGGGAGTGGTCTGGCACCTTTCATCCACAGGCTGCAGCATGCTGTACAAAGCCGGGAGGCTGTCCGTCCTCCCTGCTATACACAAGCAGGGAAACTGAGGCACAGAAGCACTCATGCACTGGTGTGCTCTGTAGAGCAGCCCATCAGAAAAATAGTGCATGGCCTTCCCTCTCTCTGGCTGGGTTTGGAAGCTGTTACAAGCCTCAGCTGCCATGATTGCAATGGCAGTCCATCAGTTCATACCAGCTGAGAGCCTGGGCTCTTTTCTCTAACAGCCAGATTAGCTAAAACCCACCTAGAGCCCAGAAAGCTTCCTGCCACTTCTCACCTCCAGTCAGCTCAGCTCAGCTCAGGTCATCTGATTGAGGGTTTACTGACACCTTATGCATCCTATGTGGCCTGGGCGGGTTTGCTCACATGTGGTTGATTGTTACTTACCGCCATCCTGTTGACCATGCGTAAGGAGGACTAAAATCAGCTCCTGCAGGGCAAACAGGTGTAGAAAAGCAGTGAGGTTGTAGCTGTGGGTTTTTTTGTTAGCAGCAGCAAGGAGGCTGACTCTTCAGAGGGCTCTTGGCTTTCTTATATCAGCATGAAGCAGGACCGATGCCTCCAAAGTCAGCAAATTATCCTGGCGTGAAACCAGTCAGGCACTGGAGAACGGGGCTCCAGGAGCAGAGCTGATGAGTGGAAGCATGCTCTGTATAGTCGGTGGATTTTCACACTGGAGCCACTGTGTTTTATGCAGTCTACGTCCCTGGGGATGTC